GAGAGATAAAGATACAGATGTAAAAGATAGACACTGAGAGACTGAGAGACAGAGAGAGAGGGGGAGAAAGAGGGCAGACATATCAAGAGTCAGAAAGAGAAAGTGACGAGAGAAAGAGAGAGGGAAATGAGGAGGGAGTAGAGATGGGGAGAGGTAAAGAAAGAAGTGAAGGTTTAGATATGAAGAGGGGAGAAAGAGACACAGAGATGAGAGAGGATAACAAAAAGGGAGGAGCGAAGTGAAATAAAGGGGAGAGAGAGGAGAAGAGACAAAAAAGACACAGAGAGAAAGAGAGATGAGGGGAGAGTGAGAGAAGGACAAAATATAAAATGGAATTAGACACAAATTAACGGCGGCTCCCCTAGTGTACAGCGGCATCAATAAAAAGTTCTTGAAGAGGGCTGGATGAAAGAGTGCTAGCTAGGGGCGAGCGATTATTAAAGTAAGAAGATAGAATGTTAGGGGAAAGAGATAAATACAGAAAGAAGACTGACAAACAAATAGTCAGACGAACACACACACACACACACACACACACACACACACACAGACAGACACGCACAGAAAAAAAGAGAGAGAGAGAAAGAAAGAGAGAGAGAGAGAAAGAGAGAGAGAGAAGGAGGGGGATAGTGAAGACTGTATTGAAAAGAAATATGAGAAGCTAAAAGTAAAGCAGCGGAAAAAAGGAGGGAACGGGAGATGAAACAAAGAGAGGAAAATGGGAAAGAGAGAGAAAAGGAGAGATAAAATTAAATATGAAGCTTTGAAAAAAAAAAGGGGGGGGGGGAGGGGGGTTCTCATACATGAGAGAATTTGTGTTTTTGTTCGTTTTAGTTGATCTCTTAAGGTTTTGTGAATTTAATGATTTTTGTCCAGTTGTGTTTAAAGTACAAAAATGGCTACTGGGTGCAAAGAGCTAAAAGAGTGGGCGAGCATAAAAATAGGATTATAAGATGGTAAGGAGGTGGGTGGGGCGATAGGAGATCGGGTTCCACACTTTTATTCTGTGCTCACCACGAAAGTCTCTGTAATGTTAACACTGTGTCGATGTCGGTATCCATTTATTCCACATTAGCCGATTGTGAACTCTACATACAGACTGAGAATAAGTACTAAAAAAAAAGGTAAAGGACCAATTTCCACGCCTTTAGGCGTATAGGGCATATAAGGCTAGACCTATATTGTTATAGACCAATCGACACAAGATGGGTGATGTGGTCAGCATCACGCCGGCCGCCTCTACTTTCCAGGACTGCACCCGGTACCCACTCAAGGCTGGGTCGACCTGGGAGCCAACAAACTGAGAGTAAGGTTCAGTTATTCTTCTTGTGACTCAATTTCCAAGTATCTACAACACATTTGAAGACACCTCAGCCACATTAAAACTTCAATTGTAAAATCCTGAAATATATCTCTGGTATTATTACAAGGCAGAACATTCAGAACGTTTGGGCCCTGTCGTGTGAAGAGCTTTTTCTCGTTACCGTTTACAGGCTGTAAACACCGGCAAAAATGTAAGGTTGTTCGTCTCTTGTTGGACATTAGTCTTTTTCCAGAATGAAGTTTTTACATATGTGGCCAATTTGTATGCAGACTGCTGGTTCATCTCCTTTCAGCCAAATGCATTTCGCCTTCTCAGGAAACTCCCTTAAATTGTTGCCTTATACGACATGCTTGGTGAGGTGCCGTTGATCTACTTGTTTCTTCCCCCATAATGGAGAGTCCCAGAACCCACTCGGGAATATTACATTCAGATATAGACAATTGCCAGTGACTGAGGATATCATGTGAAGAGCTTATCTTGAATACATCGGCACAGCAGGAAAGATTTAGGGTGGCTAAAACCTTCTTCTTCTTCTTGTTCACCAGCTGTAAACTATGGCGGAAAGTTTTGGTTGCTCGTCCACTTCTGGAGTCTTACTCCTGTTTCAGAACCTGAGTGTTGCTTGCGCATCCGATTAATATGTCTTTTTTTTTAAATTTATTTTTTTGCATGCAGATTATTGGTTTCTTGCCGCTCAGGCAGTGCACTCCAACTTCGAAGGAAGCTCCCAATTAGACGACTCTTAAGCAATGCTTTTTTTGTGAGCAGACAGTGGGTCTATTCTTGTTTTCCCCATAATAGGGCCCCGGAACCCACACAAGAAGCTAAAAACTTGAGTTTAAACACAGCGGCACAGCACTGGGACAGCCCCATAAGCATCTCGTCCCAGACAAAAAAAAGCTACAACAGGGCACCCCAAAAAAAAAAAAAAAAAAACGAGCCGTGACCCCCATAGCAAAAGACATTAGATAAACATTATCTCAAACCAGGTAAACTTAGACCACATCCGTGTAAGAACATGGCGCTTTTATCTCATATTTCAGGATAATTATACCTTTTAGTGGAATCACTATTGCTATTAAAACTGGTGTTTGTTACAGAAGAGTTCCTCGCAGTTAAATCTGAAACTAGTCTCTTCAGTTTAACGGACAAGTTAAGTTAGGAAATATGCCCTTTGCTAGGGTGTGTTAGCAAGTTGTGGGGATTATTCATCTTCACGCGTTGTGATAGTGTTAGGTGCGAGAGCTCATTTATTGTGGATGTCAGGTGTACAAATGGCCAGGTAATATTTCCAGGTAAAGGTGTTTTTTAAGGTGGCCAGGAGGTCTTTAGATCACCAGTGGCAGGCGTTTGGGGATTAATCAGGAGCAGATGTTTTATGCTCCTGTTTGAATAATTATACAAAGCACTTGAAGACCCTTTACATTGAAACCGTTTACTGCAGAATAAGCAACGTCCATAACAACGTTTATTATAACGCTCATAACAACGTTCATAACAACGTTCATTACACCGCTCATAACAACGTTCATAACAACGTTCATTACAATGTTGAAAACAACGTTCATAACAACGTTCATAACAACGTTCATAACAACGTTCCCAACAACGTTCATAAAAACGTTCATTACATCGTTCATAGCAACGTTCATAACAACGTTCACAACAACGTTCATAAAAACGTTCATAACAACGTTCATAAAAACGTTCACAACAACGTTCATAAAAACCTTCATAACAACGTTCACAACAACGCTCATAACAACGTTCATAACAACGTTCATAAAAACGTTCATAACAACGTTCATAACAACGTTCATAAAAACGTTCATTACATCGTTCATAGCAACGTTCATAACAACGTTCACAACAACGCTCATAACAACGTTCATAACAACGTTCACAACAACGCTCATAACAACGTTCATAACAACGTTCATAAAAACGTTCATAACAACGTTCATAACAACGTTCATAAAAACGTTCATTACATCGTTCATAGCAACGTTAATAACAACGTTCACAACAACGCTCATAACAACGTTCATAACAACGTTCACAACAACGCTCATAACAACGCTCATAACAACGTTCACAACAACGTTCACAACAACGCTCATAACAACGCTCATAACAACGTTCACAACAACGTTCACAACAACGCTCATAACAATGTTCATAACAACGTTCACAACAACGTTCACAACAACGTTCATAACAATGTTCATAACAACGTTCACAACAACGTTCACAACAACGCTCATAACAACGTTCACAACAACGCTCATAACAACGTTCATAACAACGTTCATAACAACGTTCACAACAACGCTCATAACAATGTTCATAACAACGTTCATAACAATGTTCATAACAACGTTCACAACAACGTTCACAACAACGTTCATAACAATGTTCATAACAACGTTCACAACAACGTTCACAACAACGCTCATAACAACGTTCACAACAACGCTCATAACAACGTTCATAACAACGTTCATAACAACGTTCACAACAACGCTCATAACAATGTTCATAACAACGTTCACAACAACGCTCATAACAACGTTCATAACAACGTTCATAACAACGTTCATAACATCGTTCATAACAACGTTCATAACAACGTTCATAACAACGTTCATAACAACGTTCATAACATCGTTCATAACAACGTTCATAACAACGTTCACAACAACGCTCATAACAACGTTCACAACAACGCTCATAACAACGTTCACAACAACGTTCATAACAACGTTCATAACATCGTTCATAACAACGTTCATAACAACGTTCACAACAACGCTCATAACAACGCTCATAACAACGTTCATAACAACGTTCATAACAACGCTCATAACAACGTTCATAACAACGTTCATAACAACGTTCATAACAACGTTCATAACAACGCTCATAACAACGTTCATAACAACGTTCATAACAACGTTCATAACAACGTTCATAACAACGTTCATAACAACGTTCATAACAACGTTCATAACAACGTTCATAACAACGTTCATAACAACGTTCATAACAACGTTCATAACAACGTTCATAACAACGCTCATAACAACGTTCATAACAACGTTCATAACAACGTTCATAACAACGTTCACAACAACGCTCATAACAACGTTCATAACAACGTTCACAACAACGCTCATAACAACGCTCATAACAACGTTCATAACAACGTTCACAACAACGCTCACAACAACGCTCATAACAACGTTCATAACAACGTTCATAAAAACGTTCATAACAACGTTCATAACAACGTTCATAAAAACGTTCATTACATCGTTCATAACAACGTTCACAACAACGCTCATAACAACGTTCATAACAACGTTCACAACAACGTTCATAACAACGTTCATAACAACGTTCACAACAACGTTCATAACAACGCTCATAACAACGTTCATAACAACGTTCATAACAACGTTCATAACAACGTTCATAACAACGTTCACAACAACGCTCATAACAACGTTCATAACAACGTTCATAACAACGTTCACAACAACGCTCATAACAACGCTCATAACAACGTTCATAACAACGCTCATAACAACGCTCATAACAACGTTCACAACAACGTTCACAACAACGCTCATAACAACGCTCATAACAACGTTCACAACAACGCTCATAACAACGCTCACACAACGCTCATAACAACGCTCATAACAACGTTCATAACAACGTTCACAACAACGCTCATAACAACGCTCATAACAACGTTCACAACAACGCTCATAACAACGTTCATAACAACGTTCACAACAACGCTCATAACAACGTTCATAACAACGTTCACAACAACGTTCATAACAACGCTCATAACAACGCTCATAACAACGTTCATAACAACGTTCACAACAACGCTCATAACAACGTTCATAACAACGTTCATAACAACGCTCATAACAACGCTCATAACAACGTTCATAACAACGTTCACAACAACGCTCATAACAACGTTCATAACAACGTTCACAACAACATTCATAACAACGTTCATAAAAACGTTCATTACATCGTTCATAGCAACGTTCATAACAACGTTCACAACAACGCTCATAACAACGTTCATAACAACGTTCATAAAAACGTTCATTACATCGTTCATAGCAACGTTCATAACAACGTTCATAACAACGTTCATAAAAACGTTCATTACATCGTTCATAGCAACGTTCATAAAAACGTTCACAACAACGCTCATAACAACGTTCATAACAACGTTCACAACAACGCTCATAACAACGTTCATAACAACGTTCACAACAACGTTCATAACAACGTTCACAACAACGCTCATAACAACGTTCATAACAACGTTCACAACAACGCTCATAACAACGTTCATAACAACGTTCATAACAACGTTCACAACAACGCTCATAACAACGTTCATAACAACGTTCATAACAACGTTCACAACAACGCTCATAACAACGTTCATAACAACGTTCACAACAACGTTCATAACAACGTTCACAACAACGCTCATAACAACGTTCATAACAACGTTCACAACAACGCTCACAACAACGCTCATAACAACGTTCATAACAACGTTCACAACAACGCTCATAAAAACGTTCATAACAACGTTCATAAAAACGTTCATAACAACGTTCATAAAAACGTTCATAACAACGTTCATAACAACGTTCATAACAACGTTCAAAACAACGTTCATTACAACGTTCATAAAAACGTTCATAACAACGTTCATAACAACGTTCATAACATCGTTCATAACAACGTTCAAAACAACGTTCATTACAACGTTCATAAAAACGTTCATAACAACGTTCAAAACAACGTTCATTACAAGGTTGAAAACAACGTTCTTAACAACGTTACTAACAACGTTCATAACAACGTTCATAAAAACGTTCATAACAACGTTCATAACAACGTTCATAAAAACGTTCATAACAACGTTCATAACAACGTTCAAAACAACGTTCATTACAACGTTCATAAAAACGTTCATAACAACGTTGAAAACAACGTTCATTACAACGTTGAAAACAACGTTCTTAACAACGTTACTAACAACGTTCATAACAACGTTCATAACAACGTTCATAACAATGTTCATAACAACGTTCATAACAACGTTCATACCAACGTTCATAACAAGGTTCATATCAAAGCTCATACCAACGTTCATACAATCTCCAACAAATTATGTAGTACTTGAGCAAGTGAGCACACGGACACATACACACACGCAGACACACACACAAACACACACACACAAACACCACACACACACACAAGGACTCTTTTTGCCTGCTTTCATATGCACAGCTCATAAAGAGCTAAATTTACATGTTATTTGTTATTAGAATGTCGGCCCAGTCCTTTGCTTGACCTGTGTTCAGCGTTGCCCTGCCAGCAAGCCAATCCTCTCGTTGATTCCCTCTAACCACACCGTGTCCTAACACGACAATCAAACTGATTCCTATCGGACGAGATTTCCTCAGCGACTGCAACCATCTCCTTTAAACCCATCCTGTCCCAATCTTCCTAATCATACTGATGGAATCACTTATAAAGCACTTATAGCACAAATGCGTCGTCTCTAGCCACATCATTGCATTTATCTCTTCATTATTATTATGATTACTTTAGGTGTGTTTACTTGGAAGTAGGAATGCGTCTGTTTGAGAGGCAAGGGATCAACATTCTGCATAGAAATAAGCTAGATATGTAAAACGGTCGGGCTTGCAAAACTCAACTTCTGTAACAAGACCAAAGTCCAGAAGTGGACGAACAACCAGGACTTTCCCTGGGAGTTTACGGTGAATGCTAAGAAGAAGGAAATGAGAATGTCCCTGAAGCAAGCGGGATAGCCGCCCATCTACGTATCGACCCATATATGTATCACTTTCCTTGTGTGTCAGCCGGCACAGTTGTCGGGTGTTTAAGGCGTTGGCCTTAAGATCAAATGGAAGTAATTCCGCGTTGGTTTGGACCCCACCCATGCTAATATTTTGGGCGCTAAGTGGTCTCGGGGTATAGCATCCATCATAAGTGCTGGAGGTCCCGGATTCAAGGCCCGTTAAAAACTGGGAATTTTTCACCTGGAATTCTAGTATTTTCCTCTGGTCTCTGGTTAGTAATACCGCGTGTATTGTTGCGCACGTAAAACATATCTTGGCAGTTGGAAATCTAACGGCGCTGCCCGAGAAAAATTTAGTGTTCGAAATCTACCCAAGTATTTCCGGATCCTCGCCGGTGCAACGGAGTTCGTGCACTAAGCTGAGATTCTTTGGACTCCAGCTTGAGTTAGAAGTAAAACGGAACACTTATGGGTTACACCCGTATGCCATGATTTTGATCCAATGAATAAAGATAAACATAAACATAAGTGTCTTTTCACCATTTATCTGTCTAGTCTAGTGTCAAAATCTTAATTTTCTATCCCCAGAACTAAATGGAAGAGACAGACAGCCGTTGGACTCGAACTTCTAGCAGAAGCTGGAAACTACGCAGCCGTTCAACGGATGCTCCAGACCAACCCGTACTGGGCCTCCTACCACCCGCACGCAGCGGCCCTGCTTTCCAACATGGACTCTCTCTACTACAGACACAGCATGGCGCCACTTCCGGTCAACCGACCTGTCGTTCCGAGAATGCTGATGCACAATTTACAGCCGCCTGTGCCGCCTCTGCCGCCGCCACAACACTGAAACAGGAACTGCTTTATTTTAATTTTTATTTCACATATCAATGGTCTATTTATTGTTGGAAATGTAATCAGGGGCGTACCGTCTTCATTTTGTCAAAACGGGATTATAAAGATGGAGAGAGCGCGAGAGAGAGAGAGGGGAGGGGAGAGAGAGAGAGAAGCAGAAGGAGGGAGAGAGAAACAGAGGGAGAGAGCGACAAAGAAAGTAAAACCAAGAAAGAGAGAGAGAGAATCAAGAGAGAGAGAGCGACAGAGACAGAGAGAGAGAGAGAGAGAACAAGAGACTAAGAGGGGAAAAAACACAGAGAGAGAGGGTATGTTATTAACTATATTAGTTAAAGTGTTCAATTTTCCCAATCGCTGGTACGCATGACTAAAGGCAAGTTGTCATAGATTCTAGTTCCTACAGTAGCAGACTTTACCAGACTTCTTCTTCTTCTTCTTCTTCTTCTTCTTCTTCTTCTTCTTCTTCTTCTTCTTCTTCTTCTTCTTCTTCTTCTTCTTCTTCTTCTTCTTCTTCTTCTTCTTCTTCTTCTTCTTCTTCTTCTTCTTCTTCTTCTTCTTCTTCTTCTTCTTCTTCTTCTTCTTCTTCTTCTTCTTCTTCTTCTTCTTTTTCTTCTTCCTCTTCTTCTTCTTTTTCTTCTTCCTCTTCTTCTTCTTCTTCTTCTTCTTCTTCTTCTTCTTCTTCTTCTTCTTCTTCTTCTTCTTCTTCTTCTTCTTTTTCTTCTTCTTCTTTTTCTTCTTTTTCTTCTTCCGCCAAGCTTCGCCAGGGCCCGAACCCACAATCTTTAAGTACCTGCACTTTTCTTTTTTTTTAGGCTCATTTTTATAGACCAATCAATACACTGTAGGTGATATGGTGAACCTCCCACCGGTCGTCTTTACTTCCCATTTCATGAACAAGTACCAGTTTTATGATGGCTCGGCAATGTGGCCAAACTCAGCTTGGAACAACCATCGCCTCCATGAGGGGTTAGTATTATGAGAGTTCCAGCAACCAACATTGTAGTCGCACTATTAGCCACCGGGCATTGATGTAGATGCTAAGAGGAAAAACTAAGCACCCCTGAACGCGTCCCGTGTGCCGGGCGGGTAACCCAACTCATATTTTGAATGTGATCAATACATGTAATTGTTAAAATGAAATATTGCGTCTGTGTGGCATGTAGAGTTTATAGACTAGAATATGAATTGTCATGACAAAAGTAGCCTTTTGCCAAATGCAAAACATACTAACCAATAAAATGATATTATTTGCATTGAGACAAAGAGTGTTAGTAGTTATTTTTGCATTTCCTTTACGGTGGCACTTAGTGCATTGACAGGTCATCTACTGCAGGTTTCAAACTATACCGGCCCAGTCCCAGGGTGTGATAGCCAGCATTGAACATAGATAATAATTATTTCACTGTGAATTGGTTCATTTTACTATGAATTGGTTCATCTCACTATGAATTGGTTCATTTCACTATGAATCAGTTCATTTCACTGTGAATTGGTTTATTTGACTATGAATTTGTTCATTTCACTATGGATTGGTTCATTCCACTATGAATTGGTTCATTTCACTATGAATTGGTTCATTTCACTATAAATTGGTTCATTTCACTATGAATTGGTACATTTCACTATGAGTTGGTTCATTTCACCCTGAATTGGTTAATTTCACTATGAATTGGTTCATTTCACTATGAATTGGTTTAGTGACTTTTATAATTTCTCACGCAAAGTGATCTGCACGATCCGGGAAGATAAACATGTAATTCACAATGTGAGAAAACAAACAGTTTCTGGTCTGCAGTTTCTTCTGCCCATGGTACCAATATTATTTTGCATTCCTACCTTTCCTTTACTACTGTCCTTCTCCAGGTTCACATAGATTGTCGACGTTTCCATTTTCCATTCGCCGTGTATCGGATGAGAGTCCTTCTGAAAGTGTCGCGAGACAT